AAGCAAAAATTGTGAGTGGTGTATTCTACAGAAGGTTAATCCCAATATCAAAGTTTAAATGTTAGTTTAGGCACTACTAAACATGACCAATCTCTTCTCTCATGCGTTTTTTAAAGTGTGATGTGAATTGGATGCTGAGGCTGGGCAGCTGTATTATGGGAATGTAAAGTAACTCGTTGCCTGGCAGCTCACAGGAAACATGTCTAAATATTTATTTCTGTGGATCTTTAAGGGAATGAGCTAACAGGCAACTCTTCCTGTATGTTTTCTTTTACATTTCAATGTCTTTATTATGTGAGGAACACTTAATTGTTTTAGAATATTCAAGCAAGGAATTACTGTTTCAGTACTCCATTTTTGTTTTTCTTAGACACAGTGGTTGACAACTATCAGCAATTTAGCCACCTGTCAGTATGTCTATATGTAGGCTTATTTATTCATTCATACAGAAGTTTATTTGGTTAATTATATATTTATTATGAGAAGTTGGCATCTGTCTTTTGAGACCTTAAGAAATAATTGCTGTAATTATTCCTTTATATTTTTACAATATTTATATAGTCATTTTAAAGGAACTAGTGAATCATTTGAGTTATTCCATATTTTAAATCTGATACACCAGACAATATTTTTCTGAAGGTCTTTGTATTTACTTCTATGCATCATTCATGTATTTGTACATGATAGATATCATCTACATAGATACATATCTGTGTATCTGTATATATATTTAACTTTGCTTGACAGTGTTAAAACTTTCTGTTTTCATAACATTTTTTTTAAGCCAAAGAACACTTGATATATGTGCTAACTAAATTTGATTGCAGTCCTTTAAGTGTCCTGAAGTTAGAAATATGTAAAGATGACTTTGTCAAATGAAATATAGCTACCCAAGAGTTATAAACACTTTTTTAAAACCACATTGTTAAAATCCACAGCAATTTATTTGAATATGTGCTGAAAGTTAAGTCTTTATCTGTTTTGCCGATGGGTCTAAGTTTAAATGAGTGCTCCGTATTATGCATATACTTGGGATGTAGTTGGGCTTTGTACGTGTTAGGAACTTTTACAAAATCCTTGTTCTTGATCAAACTATATTATGTGTTTATGTAGCTACTACAGTGCTTTTACAAAAAGATAGCTGTGACTACAGCCACGTTTTTCAAAGGTGATGATGAGGTGTTAATAGTAAATGAAATTATTTTACAGGATACTAAATTTTGCCAGCATGTAAATCTTCCTTTAATGTGTTGCAGCCTAGTCAGCTGTCTCTGGTGCCCTCTAGTGTTGTTCTTACATGCACAAACCATAGTTAAAGCGTTTTTAAACGCTTGTCATATTCAGTTTTTTCTTTACAAGTCGTCTTTTTTTTTTTTTTTTTTTTTTCTTTTTTCCTATGAATGTTAAAAATAAAACAAAAAAATCCATTAATCTTTATCACCTCGGGTCACTTGCTTCTGCCACGATGTAGACTTAGGTATGATGTGCAAGACCATCTTTTCAGAGAAAACTGCTCATGTGATGATGAGATCTTTTATGTTACAAGCATATTGTGAAGTCTTGTGTGTTGCTTCTGCTGAAATAGTTTTGAATTTGTTGTCCTGGTAATCAAGACTTTATGACTGTGTTGTCATGCTTTAAGGGTTCGTTTTGTTAATCTTCTAACTTATTTTGGTAAATAAGAGATAAAAATAAATAAGAGATCCAAAGATTTAGTCCCATAGGGTTGCAGGGTATTGGCAGTGTTTTATTTGTATTTGCTTTACGTTATGGCATTGTTCAGAGTTTCTGTAGTTTATTGTCATTTTTGTAGCATTTCAAGAGATATTAGAGTTCTTGCTTGTGCGTTCTTTCTGTTGCTGTATAGTGTTGTACCACTTTCAAAGAAAAGTTTCGTGCTCATTACTTGTACACAAGAGAACAACAGACAGTTTAATTCCCGAGTTAGCTGTTTTTATTACTTGATTCTTGGATCTGTTTTCATAAACACTATGAGAACATGACACTTCAGCTTTAATACCTTATATTTTTTTCCTGGTTAGAATTGAGATTGTGTTTGTTTTTATTTAATCAGTCAGTTTACCTTTTTTAACAACAGAGATCAGAAGTTCTACATCAATATTTACAAACTGGAAGGCATGAATCAGAATTTGTATGAAGGTATCACTTTCATCTCTCATGTAAATGTGCACTTACATAACTTGGATCCGCTACATATTTTTATAAAATTACTTTTTCAGAGCTAGTATAGTCTACTGCCATATTAACTAAATCTCATATTTGTGAGAAATACTGGAATGATAGTTCTGGAAGCAATCTGTCTTAACCCACTAAATTAATTATTCTAAGGCATGCACAGGCCCTGAAAAAGTTTTATATTGCTTTCTTTAATTACATCATGTCTGATCTGGGGAAAACACTATTGATCAAAATTGTCATGTACTTCCCTTTTTGAGACAACTATTCTGTTAGTACTGAGATGGGATTTTGTGATCCTTAGTCTTGTAGGTACTAGAAGATAACTGTTCTCTTTCCTGAGAGACAGTAGTAAGATAAAGGCTTTTGACACTCAGACTTGAAAATGAAATGCTGTTCTTTGGAACAAATCCAGATAATTGATTTGACCAAAGAAATAAAATAGTTTTTAATGAAGCAGAAGATACAAAAAAGATTACTTGGGACTCCATCTCATTCTTGTTCATATCGTTCGCAATCACTTTTTTTCCTAACTTCTAAAATAAAACTTCTAAGCTTCAGGAATAGGTTTGTTTCATTTCTTCTTTCAGCTTTAGTAAGTTTACGACCATATGCACTGCAAGTGGATATTAAAATTAGTCCAGAAAATCTTCAAATCAAATGTCATTGTGCCTTAAACTCAGAGATTTACCTGCCTGTATGTTAGAGATGCCACATTTGTAGTGATTAATAAGAGAAATAGCGGTATGTTGTGAGTCAGTTTTGCATTATATTGCAGTACTGAAAGAAGCACTTAGAAATAATAACTTAATTGTTCTGGCACTTCTAAAATGCAATGCACAAAGACACTTTTGGACTTTACTTTGACTTCCCTTGTTATGGAAAAAAAAAAAAAAAAGTAGGAAACATTGGGGTTTAGCAGGAACACTGGGGGTTGGTGAGAGGGAGTAAATAAAATTAAAGTTGCCACCAGGAGGAGCAGTACCAAAATATTCTCATTTATTTACAGGCACAGTCTATTGCTGTAGCTGTAAACTCTCTGTATCTGTGGGATTTTTTTTTTTTTTAAACGGTGGTGTACTAAATATAGTGTTTTAGAGTGCAAATAAACCCAGAAAGGATGCAAATGAAGAACTTAAATATTAAAAAAAATATAATCTGGAAAATAATGATTTTTTTGACATTTGTAATTTTAATCACAGATTTAGGTCTGTATCCTGATTTCCATATGTTATGCTGTTAGCCAGACTCTTTGAATCAAAAGTAGATCTATTTTTGTGTCTCCTTAGTTGAGACATAATAGAATAATTTTTGGGAGCTGCTGTAATGGTATTGCTACTAACTGTATCACTCAGGCAATGTAGCTGGCTCATGCTCATATATCTATACTCTAGGCAAGTTGTCTGCTGTGTCAGGGAATAACAGGAAAGGAAATTAACAAGTTCAGTGAGAAAGTGTCAGACCTTATAGGGTTTTGAGGCTTACATTTATTTTTTCTGGTCTCATCTTGTGTCAGTGTCATTCCCCCCCCCTTGCCCTTACAAGTCTCTTATAGTTAAAAATTTAAAATATATAAACCAATCCAAATATTAAAAGGGGAAATGTGTTGTGGGTGAAATCTTGTTTTAATGTTATATGTAGCAATGCACATGATATTTGTAATGGGAAAATTAAAAATTAAAATGTTATACAGTAGTCTTTCAAGATGTGTAGCTAGAATATTTTGCTAATCAGGTCTAAAGTTCATTTGTAAATGAACTCAAGTTCTGACACAGCAGAGGAAGTGAATGCATACATATAAAGTTATAAAGTTGGTGAAAGTAGCATTTGTACTTTAAATACATGACATAGAGTGACTTCACAGTGATGGGTATTATTTCTTACATAATCAACAAAGAGAATGTTCTAGATTTTTTTTTCATCCCCTTGGATTTTGCTCATACAGAAAATGTGTGTAGTCCTTCACATTATTCCTGAAATTCTGTGATGTTATAAGCTAAATCAAACTTTGGAAAGCTGGTGTGATTTCCCATTAAGGTTCTCAAATATTATTATTCCATATGAATTTTGTAATTCATTAACTGGATTGTCATTAGTTCTCTATTTCACATTCCTGGCCCATTATTGTCACCAATTCAAAATACTACAGCATATCTTCATGATATTAGCTTCCCCACCCACTTAGTGGTTAAGCTTGTACTCTGTAGATATTTTTCTACATAGTATCAACAAGTTACTTTGTTCATTCTTATGACAGAAAGAGAACTAGATGCTTGAAGTAAGCCAGGTTGATTTTCTGTTTGTGGTGGACTTCCAAACTATTTTGGAGGATTGTTTAATAGCTAAATTGAACCTGAAGTCTGTCATCTGAGAGCTGTAGTGTGAGGTGCTGGGCATGATACTTAGTTAAAGGTGATCAGCACAAATCCTTGGTGACAGCCCATTGCAAAACAACCAAATCACTTTCTATAAACTGTGGTACTGATTTTGGAATCTAGGAAGGTATAGTGGATCATGAAAATCACCAAGATACTCAAAACTCAATGCTGATGTGAAGTGGGTGTGTGGGCCACGTTTGTGTTACATCCACATCCGCTCTGCTATACATCTGTGAGAAAGAAGAAAGCTTTTATTCTTCCTTTATATGGAACTTTTTTCTTTTTTTTAATTTTAAACTTGGAAGTCTAGCAGTACACCTAGGTCACGTGAAGATATAAAACTAATGTATAAGCATCTAAATGATGCTGCTTAACTTTGTTTTTTTAAAAATGATCTGCTGCATTCTGACAAATGTTTCCCCATAGGATGAAGATGAGCTGGACTCTCACACCATGGTGAAGACCAGTTCAGAGAGTGCTGGTACCATGAGGGCCACAAGCACAATGAGTGAAGGCGCTCAGACGATGATTGAACACAACAGTACTATGTTAGAATCGGACTTGGGGACCATGGTAATAAATAGCGATGATGATGAAGAGGAAGATGGGACCATGAAAAGTATGTTGTTAATTTACTTTCATTTTCTTTTAGTAATGTGTTTTCTCATACTGCATGAGAATGTTGCATCATCAGTGGCTTTTAAGTGTCAAGTTCTGTGGTTAAAACAAGGGGAGAGGGGTATTTGTGTCTGTAAGCGCTCTCTATAGTTTGTGGAGAAAACTGGGAGATTCAAAGGAGAAGCCTGGTTTTGATGTTTTGCTGAGTCTCTCTGGAGGACTCTAAAATTAGTATTCTGTGAATTCTCCCTTCTACTGCTTGTCTCTTGCTTTTTGTCTTCTTTCCCACATACATTTGGACCAGTTTCTTGGGAGATAAACTGAAGTGATGTGACTATGTGAGAAGCTGTCACTTCAGTGTCAGTGGTTCTGGGAACTCATCATGACTTTCTATGGGGTCAACAATCAGTACATATCTAACTGCAAAATTGTATTGTAACTCATGGTTGATTAGCAAAATTTTATTTTACAAGTGAGTTGTTATTATCTGAATGTTGGAATGTAGTTCAATAATGCTTGATTTAAGGCAATGATCAAAAGATTGTTGAAGCCTATGAAAAAGTCTAAATTGACTTTAGCAGCATGTGGGAGAGTATGTAGCAAAGAAAAAAATTCCAAATGTTTTGAAGTATAAAATTACAAGTTACACTGCAATATGGATAAATACATATTTGTTAAATAGTTAACTTACATACTTACATACTGATGTGCTCATTATTTGGCTGAAGACTACTGCAGAATGAGGCCCACTGAATTTAATAGAATTATTTGCTTGAATGGGCAGCGTTGATGAATCTAACTCAAGCTGTAGGTGCCTAATTTCACAAGGCACAATGTAATATTTACTCCAGGCAATTGTTTGGGGGCAGTGGGAAGAGAGGTAATACATAAAACTAATGTCTCAAGTGGAAATCACTGCCAAATAAATAACTTGGTAGAACACTTTATAGCAAACAAAGTTGCATTTGTGTTTGCACATATATGCCTGATATAATTTGTGCAAGATTAGTTGGAAGAGCAAAGCAGGAATATGTTTTCTTTGTGGTTTAATGTACAGCAAGTTGAAGGAATGAGGGATTTTCTTGGGGTTTTTCTTTGGTTGATTGATTTTTTTTGTGTGTGTGGTTTGTTTTGTTGGTTTGTTTGTGTTTTTTTAGTGTTGTCAGCAATAAGATGGCTAACATACCTGTTGATTAGTGATTAGTCTAAGCAGGATGATTCACTTCATGAAAACACTCAGTATGTGCTTCAGTTTTTCATGCTGAAACGGAGTATTTGCTTGTTAAACTGTGAGGCTAATGGCAGATTAGTACAAGCAATCTCAAACTCATCAATTTCAATAAGTTAAGGAGAAGATGAGTGATTAAAAAAAAAGAGGGAAAGATATTACAAGAAAATTTGAAGTAAAGGGTAGTAAAGTAATTCTTAGTGTAGAAGTATTATGTAGTGTTTAGTGCAGTTTCTATGAAGCCTGTCAAATCACTTCAGGCTTAATAAGCAAGTCTATGTAAGTAGAATACCAAATTGCACAGCGCTATCCATGTAGTTTTTATATATGCTGAGAGGAAATACTTATTAGTATGCCAAACAGATCAAAAAAGTGTTGCTAGGTTTGCACTGCAATCTCTTATCCGTGTCCTATTTGCTATGTTGCTGTAGATATTGTTTTTAAAATGTAGTTATTTTCAATTTTTAATTGATTCCAGTAACAATCTGTAGTTAGAAATGGAATTACTTTTCTACACCTTGGCATTTAGTATAATTCTTAAACACATTCTTCCTTCTTGCAAAATAAAAATATATAATCTTTGGGACAGCAGGTTTCCTTCCCCTCCCTGCCCCCCTAGGTGACTATCTTGAGACCTGTAACTCCAGTGAGGGAAAGCCAGCAAACTGAAGGTAGCCTGATGGCAGGTGATGGTTTCATCATTCTGATGACAAGCAACAAGTTTGGTTCCAACAGGTTCTTACTTGCTGTATTTTATTATATTTTGCATTAGACACCCACTGATTAAAAACTAGAAATAATTCAAGAATGGGACCTCCATATATATATCTCTCATCTGAAAACAAATATAAGTCATGTCCACTGTAGCTGGTCCTCCTCTGGTTCTGTGATTCATGTGCTATTGGCTGAAACAGGAGCAATAGCAATTTTCCTAAATAAATGTCATCAGGAAGGGATGTACAAATCCTTGCTGCTTATCTGTGCTTGTCAGAGACACAAGATTTTAGAGATTGGTTGCCTTTTCCAACATACCTTTATAAGCAAGGTGGGCACTTTCTAGATGTTTGTGTGATTTGATTATAATAAATCAAAACAGGTAGCTTAAAAGTACTCTTTGATACTTCTGAATAATAGAACATTGCAAGCAAGAAGCTTGGAGAAATAAATATAGTAAACTAGGGAAGAGGGATTTAATTTCCTTCCTAGAGACACAAAATATTTATGACAAAGGGTTTTTTTTTTAATTGCTCTTGTGTTTTGTTTCATGTTTTGTTTCCTTCTGCCTTTTTGTTTCCCTGCTCAAGGACAAAATAAGAAACAGTAATAAGTTTTTATTTATAAGTGCCCATGCTTAGAGGCCTCTGGGAGCTATGACAGAAAATAACTGAAACCATACTTTTTTCACAAATAGGGAATTGTGCCCAGATAAAATTGGGATTTGGAATAAAAAGAGGCCTGTCATCTTACCCCAACATACAATATACAGCCTAGCAATAAACAACATTTATGCCTTCTTACATAGTTTGCCTGTGTGTGCTCTGAGCAGAGACTGTGTGGTATGTACCTGGAAGGAGGGAAGAAAATGCAGAATACAGAGAGGTGGGAGGATAGACCTTAACTTTAGGAAGTTTAATGTGGAGTGGAAGAGTGAGTGGTATTGATGGAACGTAGTACTACTTTTGTTCAGGTGCCTGGATTGTACTTATCTGTATGTAGAAGCTTTTTCATATCTCAATTCAGAGACCAATGTTCAGAGCAGCTTCCCTGGCATTTCCTTTGTGGCTTTTTGGCAAGGCTTAGTGTTAGGGCTTTCTGGTGCACTAAGAGTACTTCTGATTGTTCTCCTTCTTCCTTTTTGTTAACACTCCCCCTGCTTCTTTTTTTCCCCGATTAAATTTATATTTGTCGTCTGCTTTGGACTGGCAAACAAGTTGCCTCCTCTTGCCATCTGGACTTATTCTGGGATTCTAACTGTTGCTTCAGACTTCAGTGAAGCTTCTAGATAGCTTGTGGCTGGTAATGAATATTAAAAGAAGAGTGAACGTAATGAGGTGACATTTGACAGATAGAATGTAGAAAATTTGGTCAGGTGTTTTGGTTGTTTGGTGTTTTTTTTTTACTTTTTGCCCTTTAAGACATTAAATATTTTAAGTTTAGACAGTCTAATTCCTGAACACATTCTTCCTTCTTATAGAAAAATCTTTGGGATAGCAGACTACCTTCCCCTCCCTCCTTCCCCATTGGTGACTGCCTTGAAAGGAAAGCCAGAAAACTGGAGGTAGCCTGATGGCAAGTGATAGTTTCATCATTCAGCTGGTTTGGTTCCAGCATTTACTTGCTGAACGTTCTTGTGTTACTGTGTTATGGGTTCCTTGATTATAGCAGGACGTACACCACGCTGCAGAACATACATTTCAAAAGGAGAATCAATGAGTTGGGTTTATTTATTTATTTTTTTTTAAGTGATTTCAGTGTAAGAGATTGTGCCATCCTATAAGTCAGTCTCCTCTGTGATAGGAGGTAGATGTTTGGGTAGCTCTGTAGTGATGCTTCATAACTCTTAGAAAGCCTAAATCTCACAGATGTTTTTTCAACTGAAAAGCAAAAGCTATTGATATGTGTTTTATACCAACCTGTGACCCAGGTCTCACGTGAATTCAGTAAGGAAGTTTAATTATGAGCTGGTTTCAGCAGTACTGTAGCCTGAGTGTTGATACTTCATAGATGTAGTCTTGTTCAAGCATATTTACTGTGCCCACGTTAAGACAGTTTGCTTGATGCCATGTGCAGGTATACTCGTGCTTTACTACTTTATATATACAAAGAGATGATAGGTGTTTCCAAGCCTGTTCCAGTCCTCCAGCCCTCTCATGAGATTGGTAATAAAGTTGTTCATTTATGCCACTAGTAGTAGTATGTTTTACGAATGGGATTTTTTTTTCAGAGAAATCTTGTTGCCAATTCTGCTTCAAGAACTGTTACAAAGTGTAGCATAACATGGATTTTCTTTCTTTTGCTGAAAGCAGAAATAAAGTGTAAGTCACTTGGAATGGACTAATGGGTCCATTATAATAGTAGTGTAATTAAATATTTTTTTCTTTTTCTCTGGTAAGGTGGAAAAATGGAACAAAACCCAGTTTTTCAAGTCTTATTCTCAGGAAGCAAAGCAATGTTTTGTGCTGGAAGCCTTTCCCCATTAAAAATCTTTTAAAATTGAGTTTATAGTCCTTCAAAAAGTCTGAAGGCTTCATCTGGTTGAAAAATAAGTGGATTTTCCATTTAAACAGCAGTTGCAATTATTTTTGATAAATAGGTATATTATAAAACAAATAAAATTTGGATGAAAATTCAGGCCTCATAAGTCACTGTGATGTGAAAAGTGCAAATTTGGTAACAACTTCGTAACACAGCTGTCTGTATCTCACATACTTCAGATAAAACCTTTAGTAGACTCCCAGCTGTTCTGGCCTAAGGAACTGGTGATGCTTCCTTGCAACTCAGAAACTGAGTAGGCTGACCTCGAATTCTTTGAGGTGGTTGTCTAATAGGCATGTATTAGCAGCAGAACTCACCCACTTGTAAAATACAGTCACAATTTCTACTTAAAATATGGCTGAAGGAGGTGGCTGTGACAGCTTTCTACATGGTAGTTCACTGTTAAGCATGCCTGGCAGAGACTGAGGTCAGAATTCTAGGCTCTTCTCAATGTTATTGCATTCAGAGTTCCTGTCTCTCACTTCCCAGAAGAGTTACTGCCACTGTGTTGCAGGCCACCTTGTGTGGTGAGAAAGTAGTCATAGGAATGTATGAAATATAAAGCCCTATGTAGTGCATGTTGTTGTATAAGCCATTGTACCCTTTGTAGTAGAGGTGATAGTCCAGAGAAGGCTAAAAGCTGATTCCAGTGCAGCTTCTCACTCAAATACTGACAGAGTGATATATTTTGAGGGAATAAAGATACTGATGGGATCTTCACAAAAGCACTGCAAACAGGAGAGCCTGATCCCTTGACTTTACCAAAGAGGCAGCAGCTGGAAAAGTCCATCAATCAAATGTCAGATGGAGATCCCCAGGATGGGGAAAGCTGTGGAGCAAAAGTTTGTGGCTTTTGGCAAAAGAAGGAAAACTTTCATCTGTAGCTTTGCAGCTCAGGAAGAGGTCCAGTGCCTGGTAGTAATGGAGCAAGAGAAAGCAAATTGTTAAAAATACCTCAACCCCCACAAACAAACAAACAAAACACCACCACAGGCGCAGTCCCACAACACTGAAAGACTGCCAGGGCTTGTCCAGTGCTTAGACTATTGCCTCCTTCTACGCATCCATGTGGAAGCATGCTAATGATACTGCCAGAGGAGACCTTGAGAGTGACCTTAAGAGTAACTCCAGGGTTATGAGGATGTTCTTGATCATGATGGTGAAGGGAAAGCCTTGGAGGAACAAGTAGGTCAACACTTGGTTGTGCCTCTAGTGTTATTCACAAAGGTTTGACTTTTATGACCATGGGGCCCTCTTTGAGGATCAGAGACTGCTGTGGAGAGATGGGTTCCACCTGACAAAGTAAGGCAAGAGTTTTTGTCAATAAGCAAGCTGTGAGTTAGCCAGACCAGCATGGGAGACTGTATATGTGACTAAGCCCAACACAGAGTATAAAAACTTAACAACTAACAACAGAACTCTTTAATGTATTTAAAATCAATTTAATATTAATATAATACTTTTCTGTTGGAAATACATTACTACAAAAGCATTTTTCTATATAGACAACATCAATTGAATTTGATCAAAACATGCATTACAATGGAATGTGCATCTCTTATTTTGAAATGTGCGCTTAGAATTATTTATTTTAGTTATGATACAGTTTTGAAACAGTGTGATAGAGTTGGAATTGTGTTATGTCATTGCCTCATTCATTTTATCTGGCAGAATTTTTGGAAGAAATTCTTTTACGTAACTAACTGGGGACATCCCCATTGGCTGTATCTCTATCAGGGGTATGGCTGAGGTAGAATGTATGTTTTCTTTGTCCATGGTGGTCTCTGCATTCCATGACTTGCCAGCAATTTCTGCTGGTTTTATTGTGGCTTTCTTCCCAAAGCCCTCCTGAAGTCCTGCAGGGGACAAGTATAGGGATGATAAGAGACTGATATTCTTAAATGTTGAAACTGTGTCAGACATTTTAAAGCATGATCATCTCTTGTTGAAGAGTAAAGAAAAATGAGAACAACTGAAAAATTCAAATCCTAGAATGAAACAGTCTGTTCCACAATAGGTTTTCAGGGCAAGTGTGGAGTGATATTGATTGTGTTGAAGATTTTTTTTGTGACTAATATATAGCTTCTGTACAAAGTAATTTACTGGATAGTTGAGTGAATTAATTGTCCTTAAAGAAATCCTTATGTATTGTACTTTTAAATTTCTTGTTTCTCTAAAGACAGTTGACAAGATACTATTACTCTGTTGTTCATGAAAGTTAGAAAAAGTGCCTTCAGACCAAAATGATCTTCTAATAACCTTACATTTTGCAAAAAAGTGCAACCTACATCAGTTTGCTCTGACATATAGAGGCGTAATGTTTTATAAAGTCAAGACAAAGAGGTAGGAGCCTTTATGAAGCCTTTAAACTGGTAGATGTCAAACTCTCCCATTTTCCATGCAATATTTACTAAACTTGTACTAGATTAGCTAGAGATCTAAAGAAGAGTCTCTTTTATTTAATTATTCGTAAAAAAAAAAAAAAACCAAAAATAAGTCTTTAAATGAATACTTCATTTTTTTACACTGGGGAAAAAACAAACCTTGAATCACCTCTGGACCTGTTGTTTTGCAGGCATAACATTTCTGGTTTTGTTTGTGAGGTTTTGTATTTGCAGTGAAGATAAGCAGCTCTTGTTCTTGTAAGTGCGTTAACTAACTGCATACTAAATTGGAATCACAAGTGAGCTCTAAATTCTTATTTAACAAAACAAGTAGAACAAGGCCTCAAAGTGTAGAATAAATGTGCTTTGCTCATTTATTCAGTCCTGTTGACCTACTTTACTTCATATGTATTTGACAGCAAAGAATTTGGAGGGGTTGGTTTGTTTTATGTATGTAGGCAGTCTTCTATTATGTGTATAGGAAGTTATTTATAATTAGCTCTAAAACTTAAGAGTAGTGCTTGGAAAATCTTTACTATTTTCTGTTACATGAGAGGAGGGAGACTCTTACCTGTAATGGGCCAGCATTTTGGTACTTAGAGTTTCTAACAGTGACACTGGTAATCTTCTTGTTTGTTTATAAGTATGTCTCAAGGATGAAACATAAGTACAACCATCTCAGCAGAAATAAAAAATTGGTTGTGAAAGGCCAGCAATGTAGTGTTGGTATTTGTACCTTTTTGGTACAAATAGTTTCAGGGGTTTTAGGCAGCAGCCATCAAGTAATAAAAAGTTTGTAATAAGAAAATGCATTGTATTTATGTTTTTAATTCTACCTCCTAGAGCCAGAGAGTAGAACACATTAAAAAAGCCAGAAGAACTCTTACTAGAACAGAATAATGTAGAAAAAGCAGAAAGAAAAAGTAAATCAATATGCTATAAAAGATGGCAGTACAAAAATAAGCATTAATGAAAAAAAACAGACCACTATTAATCATGCAGCAAAATTAGAATTAATAAAGAAATCTTTAGACAGAGGGAATGGAAAGAGATGGTGAAATAAAAGGTGAAAGAAGAGGGGGAAAAAACCCACTTAGTGAATTAATAAAAACAAATGTAAAGCCAGATAAGATCAACAAGTTCTAGTGATTATGTTAAGCACAAGCTCAAAAGATATTTCCAGTGTTTTACCTTTTGACTTGTTAAAACAAGTAGTTCAAATAAAAATTCCTAATTATTTTATGATGCTTACAATTAAAAAGTATAGTTCTACCTGTGAGTTGTGTTTTGGGATTTTCTTGGGGTTTTTCCCAGCTTAGTTATTTATAACTTTCATCCTGTTTCATATTTTACTTGTGGAAATGTATTTCATATTTCTCTAGGTAGACTGTGTTACATTGCAAGCAAGTGCACATTTCATGAGTCAATGCTATGCAGAACATAGTCTCTGAGGTGACAATTATGTAGAGCTACTAAAGCATTTCTTATGTTTTATGTGTTGTTCTATTTAGTAATTCATTTGTTTTGAAATCCCACAAATAAACCCAAATTTCAGTCATTTAGGGTTGTAGGTAACTTTTTTTAGTTTCATGAAAAGGATAACAGAACGGGAGTTCATGCTGACCTCAGTCTGCTTCATAGCTTCTGCAGCTGCATAGATGATGACAAAAATCCCTCATGGTTTCCATGCCATAGAGATAGGGTGCTTTGCAGCCATCTGTAGAGATCGATCCCATTAATTTGTTGAGAATTCTCATTGGCAATTAATGTAATTAAGCAGTGTACAGTTTGTGTAGTTGTTTTTTGCAAGTTCTTTTTCTAAATACTTTTTAAATTGCACCTTTGGTGAAACTGATAGAACTCTATTGCTTTCCTACAAGTGCCTGTGGACCAGGCCTTGAAGTTAGGAGCATTCAGCACCCAAAGGGATGCTTAGCACCTTGTGTTATTCAGTCTCTATAACAACAAATAGATATTGCATGAAGTAACTTGTTATATTATTTGTGTGTGCAACTCTGAACGTCTTGAACATTTATCCGCATTGTATCTTGGTACAAAAATATCATTCTTCAGCTATGAGCTTTTATGCCAGAGATCCTCAGGGGACAAATGGAGACTTACACCACATACAGATGACTGTACTAGTTTCTGTAAAATCCAAGGAAATTAATAAATGGAGTTTGTTTTATAGTGCAGTAAGTCTTTAATCTTTAAATAGTTTTAACTTTTTCTTTTTTCTTTCAACTAAGGAAATGCTACTTCACCACAAGTTCAAAGACCTTCTTTCATGGACTACTTTGATAAGCAAGATTCCAAGAATAAAAGCCCTGAAACCTGTAATCAGAACATGCATGAACCTTACCACATATCCAAAAACGTTTTCCCTGATAACTGGAAAGTCCCTCAAGATGGAGACTTTGATTTCGTAAGTACATTTTTATTGTTTACTTTCTTGCACACTGTTTATTTTATATGTGCCAAAAATAATCCATTTCTATAACTGTGTTAATACAAGTAAAATAAGTAAACTTTCAAGAATACCATCCACTTATTTAATCTGAACACCTCATCCTGGTTGTTGAAATAAGTACATTTGCTTAACACAGGACCTTCTTAATGAGGAGTAGTGTGAGACTGTATGAATATACTTTGTAACTTACTTTTTTTTAGAAGTAGTTTTGGTTCTTTATAATGTATGTGTTATATCAACTTCAAAATTTGACCCAGTTCTATTTTAGAAAAGTAAAATAAATTGCTGTAGGCATGGAATATTGTTAAGTTTGCTGAATATCTCAGTAAAATGATTAGCATTTTAAACTGGATTGGTGCAGTTTAATCAATCTCCTTGGAGATGGTTAACATCACCTACTGTTTTGCACAAGGCAGCTTGTTAGTCCTATTCCAGTAATGCACATCTTTCTACATAGAATGATTCTGTCTAACACTAGTTTGGCTATTTTAGGGTGGGGTTTTTCCTGCTCCAAAATATGTGTAGTTTATTCCTTTTTGCCTATGTTGCAAATTATAACAGGGGTGAAAAGAAAATGTTCCTAAGTTATAGGTTGCTCTTAAAGTGAAAGAAGTAATTACTGTTTAGAGACTTGTAGATAACTAGATCTGGTTTTTACCTTTGTTAATTTTTACATGTTTGAATGAAATAATTTAGTTTATCTGTTGTAGATTAAACATGTTAACTGCAGTGCAGTAGCTAAATATGATCACATGACACCTTTTTGAAAGTACGCTTGGGATTTGGAGAAAAATGTTGTGTTTAATTTTAGGTGACAGCTGTACGTGTGGGATTTTTTTCCCAGTTTTCACTTACTGCATTTCTACAAAAAGCTGACTCTTAAATTTAAACTACTGGAGTAAAGCCAGTTAAATAGCACAGAACAAGCTGTTGCTGCTGCAGAGTTTTGATTAAGTTGGATTTTGGTTTGGGTGGGGTTTTTTAGGCTCTTTTTTTTTTTTTTTTTTACCATAAAGTGCAGTAGTCACCATCCTGACAATTGACTAACAAAATAATTATTTGCACTATTCATTGGAAAATAACTGGCTATTATTTAAGTGGTATTATAGTGGCAATAGAATTGCCCTTGAAACAATTTAAAATTTACCCTACCTTTTGCATTAGTTGTTAAGAAATGCAAACAAAAAAGATTCTTCTTGTAAATGCTAAGATCCTGATGCTGTAAGTGCTTATGTGTTACTAATTTGCACATGGATAATCTTGTGGAAATTGTTGACATTGCTTGTACATATGAAGTTGCCTTTTTGAAATAAGAATTCGTCCTAGAACCAAACCTGAGGAGTTCTGTTCTTCAAACACCTAACTGCTCTCTTTGTTGTAGGCAACTGCTCTCTTTGTTTTAGACTGGCAAGTCAGACTTAAAAATCCACAAATTACAGAATGGTTTGGATTGGAAGAGACCTTTAAAGGTCATCTAGTCCAGCTTCCCTGCCATGGGCAGGGACACCTTCCACTAGTTGCTCAAAGTTCTGTCCAGCCTGACCTTGAGTATTTCCAACGGTGGGGCATCCACAACTTGTCTGGGCAACCTGTTCCAGTGTCTCATGGAAGTTACGTGAAGTGCAGTTTATCCTTGATGTCTTAAAAAGCCAGTGTTGTAAGGCTTGTTGCTACAAAATTACTCTGATTGAAGACCAAATAGGATTTTTTAAAAAGGCAAATGGCTATTTGCAAGAGCAATGTATGTAGTTGGGGGAAGGAATTTTGTTCTAAGCATGATGAAAGCCAAATACTTCCATAGATAAGCCAGCATAAGAAAGAGTTTAGGAAGACTCTTTCTTCAATGACAGATGTACTGCTTCAGAGTAGTCCACTCAGGAATACATTTCTTTGAAGCTAATGTCACACAGGATACTGGTTTTAACAGACTGCTGGTTTGAACCATAGGCAATTATTATTGATTTATACATTCTAGAATAACTCATATTTTTTTTAGACAGCGAGTGGCAGTATTGGTAAGTGGCCTGCAAGAGACTTTCTGAAAGGATAAATCAGTGGGCAGCATGCATAATCTATCGTATACTCTTTGTGAGATCAACATGAATGTATTCAGTTACTGACATGAAGTCTATAAATGATTCATGAAAGGGATAAATAATGGAAACTTTTTGTACTAAATAATTCTAATTTGTTTTGGAATTAGCCTTAATGGGATCTAGAAACGGATCCTAAGAGTAAATGCCAGCAGTCATAATTTTATTAAAAGAAGGGATTGATACACTAGAACCAAACCATAAATGTTTAAAATCTGATGTAGTGCTAACATATTCTAATAGAACTCCAACTTTCTATGTAGAAGAGGAGGGATGCTCTGCAAGTTGGAGGTCACCAGACTCACTTGCTGAGTGATACCATTATTCTTTCTTACCTATATACCCTTGTAAGCCATACATAGTATGCCAGTGCTGGCAGCCAAGAAGTGCTTGTGAGCCAGGGCAGAATGACAGTGCCATGCTAAGAAGATCTGTTCAAGTGTATCAAACGGAAAGACGTAGAAGTTTATTAGTGTATGTATCTGTAACAGCATAAACTAGAGAAGTAGAAATGCCATTGAGATGGAAGGGAGAAGGGACAAGGAAAAAACAATCCTTATAAATCCCGCAACTAATCAGTTTGCTTATTTCTATGTATAAGGTGAGGCCTACAGAACTGGGAGCTAATTCTTGTGGCCAAATGCTGTATTTGCTTTAGGTCACAGTGATATTTTATCCTATTCCTAGTATGTTTTCCTGTTAAATAAAACAATACACAGTTATTTCATTTATTTAAATGTATAAATACATATAATGTAGATATGGCAGTTAGTCTTACAGACTTGCTCCTGATTTTAGATAATGTAAATAAATGATACAGGCAACTTTTCTCATAAAATGGATAAATGAATGTATAAAATAATGCTAAATGAATTTAGCACTAGGTCTGGTTTGAAAGTTTTTGTGTGGGCATAGTTTTCTGCCCTGACGTAAATGTTTTAAAAACTCCTTGCCAATGAAAACAAAAGTAGAAGACTTTTCCAAGAAAATAAGATGCTTTGGTCATCAATCTGAGCTTTAAAAGAAGTAATTTTAGCAGCTTTTTTTTCTTCTGTAAGTACATATTTATGCTTTGTTTTTCACGAAGTATATCTGTTTAGAAATTCAAAATTTATTTATCTTTCACTAATGCCATATGGGAATTTGAGATCCATCTCTGAGTGTTGGTCCTGTGGGCCTTCAGTTCCATGATCAATCTGTGCTGGTTACTGATGTAATGTTCCATGAAGTGATGAGAAAACATTGCCACTGCAGACTAAGTTTTACATTGTATTGAATGAGGTATATTGCAAATAACTTTTAACTACACTTAATTCTGGTACTGTATAGTCACTTTGAATACTACACTACATTATTCCAGATTTACCCTGTTATGTATGCTCTGGGCCTAAGGTGCTGTTTTTCATGCATAAGAGGTGTTTGGGGTTTTTATACTACATTTCTTTTTGCTTCTAAAAAAAATCCAAAACCAAACAACCCCAAACATTTTTGAACATTGTTTTTTCTGTGTCTAGCAATTTGTTTAGGCTTGCTTTTTGGATCTTTATTTTCAGTTATTTTGTTTTTGTTGTCTCATGATGAATTCTGCAAACCAAAAGTATGGGTCTCTTATATAAGCGAATCTTAGGGAAATGTATTTCTGGGGAAGTACTTGTTTTTGTTTGTTGGGGTTTTTTTTTCCACTTCCACCTTTGAAGCTTCAGGTATAAATCTTACAAAAACTAAAATTATGTTTATTCAATCTTCAGCTTTTATAACAAACTTTTAATATATGTTTCACACTCAAGGATCATTGTGGATTTTCACTTTCAGTGGATACTATCAGACTATAGGCAATTCTTTTCATTATTTTTAAGGGGCAAAATTAGAGCAATACTTTTAACCCTAATTCTGTCAGTTTTATTTGGCGTTAAGTGATGGTTTATTTGCAGCAAACTTTGATGCCAGTAAGTCTAATCAACAAGATACTACTCATTGTGAGTAAAACTGCCATAATATATTTGAAAAGTAAAGATATAGTAAAATTATATAGTGTATGAGTATGATATTCATAGAAATGTCAATGATGCCTGATATAAGCAGCTTTTCATAATGAGGCTTAACTGTTTAATAGGCCAACTTTTAGTCTTAGCTCACAAGTCAGCAGTTTGGATCAGAGTGCTGAATTAGAGCAAATGATGTGTTTGTTTTGACCATCTAAGTGACGAGTCCTTTTAAGAACAGTTGTTTTTTATAGATATTACGTATTCGTATTACCATGTTTCTATTATGATAGCTTTGTTCTTTCCATGGGGAATGTTTTCCATGAGATATGTACATGCTGGAGAGAGCTGTGTATTAAATGAGCAGTATAACTGCAAGGTGTTGTTGAAGCAGCTTGCTCAAATTTATTTTTGCCTTTCACAGTTGAAGATTTTTGTGATGTTTTGTGTAGCATTTGTCATATTTTTATGGGCATTATAGAAGATAGTTTTCACCAAAAACCATGAACCTAGTAAGCAAGAAGTGCTTGAAATTTTTATCATGTGGGGGAAAACAGGTAAATTTTAGCTTGATAGATTAATGTGCTATGTGTATATGTTAAATAACCTGCTGCTTGCATTTTTACTGTATCATGACATTTTACATCTCATTAAGATGAAATTGCTCTGTAAATCTTTCTACCCCTTAGTAATATGTGTTAGTGTGGGACACGGTGTTAATAAAGGATTTATATGAACTACAGTGAGGTGATATCTAATTGATGATAATCTGTGAATTAACAATACTCTGAGTTGCTAAACTTCATTTACACTGATTGATTGTATTATTTAATTTTAAATGAGTCATTTACTTGTTATGATAAAATGTAAAAAGGCAACT